GAGAAAAACGACCCCATCGACTGATAGAGGATAGAGGACTCAAAAGAGATGTTTAGTTGGATTTGTTTCTACTAGATGAGTGAGTAACAGAGCCTGCCAAGTTCAATTCAATTCAATTTTATTTATATAGCAGCAAATCACAACAACAGTTGCCTTAATGTGCTTTATATTGTAACGCAAAGACCCTACATACAGAAAAAAACCAACAATCAGACAACACCCTATGAGCAAGCACTTGGTGACAGTGGGAAGGAAAACCCCCTTTTAACAGGAAGAAACCTCCAGCAGAACCAGGTTTAGGGAGGGGTCATTAACACAAAAGCTATTCTACATGCTTGAAAAAGGCCACTCACTACAACAGAGTATTGCACTGCTTTAACTGGTTTAAATGTTCCATTTGAGTTTGTTTACCTTATTCAGCTAATGATTCCTGACTGACTCTGCCATTTACTGGATTATAATAACACAATAAAAGCCATTAACACACAAAAACTACACACACAAACTCAAAATCAGAATTGTCACGCAGATGTTTGCACACACAGAGTTTTTTTTTTTTTACCTACACGACATGCTGAAGAAGAGAAACCGGCTGCAGCAAACACAGAGGCACTGACAGACCCACTCCCTCCTAACCATCTCTTGCCTTCAGCTCCTCTTCCTCTCCCTCCTTCTTTTCTTCTCCATTCATCATCTCCCTCACTATCTCTCTCTCTCACACACACCTCACCTGCCTGCCTCTCCCTCCTCCTCCCATCCTACCTCACCAACAGTATCATCTGTCATCTTCTTGAAACTAACACCAGGAGCGGCAGCAGCACAGCGAGAATATCCGCTTAATGTTTCAAAAGGTCGACTTTGTCTCTAGGCTACACGGCCTAGTGCTGCTTAGCCACGCAAATATTACAGCGAGATGATCCACGTGCACTCCAGGTTTACATCAAGGCTCAAACATGTGGGGGGCGGGGATAAAACGTTACTAAGTAACAAAAGTGTTTTTTGTCACATAAGTAACAAAAGCTTATTCTTTAGTTGGTGTTTGGGTGTCATGTGACAAAATAGCAAATGGCCGGTGCTCTAATAAGCTCCAGAACAACAACAGTGCCAAGCAGTTGTGTCCCCACACGCCACCAGAACATCATCAGCACTTCCCAGCATTGATTTGCTAAGTCTCTGAAGGTCTAGTGGATGAGTGCAAAACCATCCTCCAGTGATTCCCTTTAATCAATATCATATCATACAAGGATTTCTCAGGTGGGCCTGAGAGGTCAGTGACCCCCAAAGTTTAGAGTATTAATGCAGGTGTTTAGTTGGGTGGCTGGATGCTGACCACAGCATATGACTCGCATCCTTTTCTGTATGTCTTCCTGGAATAGACGACTCCGATCATAAATGGATCATACAGTGATCCATTTATGGTATAATAATTTATAGGGATTTGAGAGTTTAAATATTCCCTTTATCTTGTCACCTGTCAGGTCTTATATGTAGGTCTTAAAAATGGCTTATTTTGGCTAATACCATTTTATGAAATGTTAAACAATCATATTTTTGTTTTATTCCATTAATGACTTATCTTACTTCCAAAATATGAGTTCATTTGGCACTTTTGGTTATCACTTTTACACAGTGATCACTTTTTACAAGTGACAGGTTACATCTTTCTGTAAAACCCAGAGAAAATAGGCCTGGAAAGCAATAAGAATAAACAGTGCTCGGCTGTTTCATATGTTCCTTTTTGATCCCCTCTTCAGTTTTATATCCTACATCGTGTAATATTTCCTCTCGAAAAGTGAAAACAATTTTAAGGACAAAAGGTCAGGTTTTGACTTCCTTACCACTAGAGGGTGTTAGGCACAAGCAAGGAACACCCATGTTCTGGTTTCAGCTTTACAAAGTGTGAACGTGTCTTGTGTAATCAGCTGGAGAGCATGGATATGCAAAAATCAGGTCCTGTGCCATGCTGAGAAATAAAAATAGGAAACAACATACCGGCATAAACGAATTTCCTAATTCTCCCACTTGATCACGCACTTGTGCGTAAATATAAAAGTTGATCTGTGTTATGATACGACCTTTGTGAGCGCTGTATCATGGCAAGCTGGTAGCACTGAGATGCTATCAGTCTCTCTATCTGTCAGATGTGCGCATCCTTCCCCAGCGTGTTTGTGCACTTGTGTTTGGCTGCTGTCACTCGAGCCTCTTTGTTCCCCATCCCATGTTATTAGGCAGATGAAAAGATCTGCTCTCTAGAACGGGGCCCGAGGGAGATCTTCTCAATGACTCACTCTAATTAAGAGGCTGGAGGGGACTGCAGGGGGAAACACGCCGCCGCCGCTGCTGCTGCTGCTGCTGGAGTAATAACTGGCAAGCTGTGACAGTCACTCTGCCTCTCAGTCGCTCCTCAGTTTACATTTGTCTGTCTCTCTTTCTCACACACATATACACAGAACTCTGGAGGATTGAGGTTGCCTGTCTTGTATGTATACTCGCTGCTGAAGCCTTTAAATAGAACCTTTTGCAGACGTTTTGGCTTACAGCAGGAAAAACACAGATGGAACCAATAACACTGACGACAGCTCTGTTTCCACTGATGTGTCCCAGCAAGCCCTGGTGGGGATCACCATGAAATGCAGCTTATATTAATTAAATAATTACATTTGTGTCTGTCTGCATGTTAGATAGCTCTATCTTTGATCTATAATAGATTAAAGAATTAATCTTATTGCTAAGGCCCCAGTGAAGTGATGTCATGACAGATTGATGTGATGATGTCAGAGTCTCTATTGCCCCTTGAAAAACACTGAGAAAGTTTTCAGTGTGACAAATATTTTATCAATCCTCCAAGTGACTAATTTAGGCTCAGCCCCAACCTTATAAACAGTGCAGCTGCATTCCAACCAAAACTATCAATGAGCCACGGGGTCAGCTTCATGATCGCTAATATGCAAACTGTCGTTTCTCCTGCTGAAGACTCTGCATCCAGTTGAACAGAGTCAACCTTCTGTGATATCCAGACAACTTCAAGTATGGCTACTATTTTTAGATCACTTTCCGCAGGAAACCTTTCCTACCTCTTCTGTAATTTTAGTCTCAGACCTGCACATCTTTTATTTCAGCTTGACTGAACACTCCGTTGCTGAGTCTACGGTTGTTAGGTCTGTCCTATATCGCATCCTCTGCAATGATACAGGTGGAAATTTCTATGTGAAATAAAAATATACTGCAATATCCGAAGTGCCGAAGTGTATCTGAGAGCTCGGATGACAATTTATTACATAAAAGGGAGCTACTTCAACAACTTCCAATGAATCGCAGTGCTCTGCAAAATATTTCAGGGAAATCTGTTAAAGATGGAAATGGAACGAGTGTTTCAGCACATGAGGCAAAAACACCCTGAATGCAAGAAGGGAACAAAGGAGGAGATAATAGGAACAGCTGATGATATGTGACCAAGTGAATACAGGGTCAGTGTTGCCAATACCGATACCAATACTTTCAACCTATAAAGGCAGCTTATATAAGAGGAAAGCAGCTTCTCATTTAATGACCACTAAATCAGTGTGACTTTTAATTTCAAAAATAATTAGCTAACACAACAAAACAACCTTTGAACTTTTAATGTATTTTGAAACTGAGTTTGTAGGAGACCTGGAATCACTTTGGGCCAGTTTCTGTTGTTTAAATGTGCTTTAAATAAATAAAATAGACGTGACAGTGAATACAAAAAGGGGCATATTTGAGGTATACTTTTTAATTTCATGAAAAAAATGTTTATTTAACACAGTTGAGTGGGCTACATACTGAACTTAGAGGATAGATACAAAGTATCAATCCTACGATACTATCGATATTTGGATTGATCCGTCCACCTCTAGTGGGACCCAAATGTAAGCAAATGATCCCATCAAGCAAAGCTGGAGGCCTTACTAGCTGAACTCCAAACAACAGGAGGAGCAAACAATGGGTGGAATGCGTGATAGAAAAGCAAGGCGTGGCAGTAAAGACCACACTTCAATGCTTTTCAGCATACTTCTTTCTTTATTCTCAGTTGCTTGTTTATTACGGTTCCCGGCTGCAGCTTCTCAGTTTGCAGCCACATGTAATGGAAAAACATTCGTTCAGGACCCATTTCACTCTTATATGCAGGGGAGGCGTGACGAGCTGATGCACCTCAGGTGTGTCAGCCTCCACCTCAGCCGCGCCACAAACCACGCCCGCCAAACAAGGCTTTAAGCAGCTGATTAAAAAGCCCAACCCAAGCTCGACTAATGATACTGTATGTGACAATATCATGCAGGCTCCTGAAGAGTTACAAGGTTAACTTTAGTTATTATTATTGTTAAAGTGTTAAGCAGTCATTTTACACTTTTACTTTGAAATTTCAAGGGTAAACACAAACACAACCTAGGCTACTTTTGTGTTCACATTTCAATAGATTCACACTTAAAATAAGGAAATGTGCAGCAACTTAGTGAAAAAGTTGCTCTTTTTAAAATTACTACAAACATCAATAAAGCATTCAGTATTTTTTTCCTATATCTTCTGAAATGTCACACATTTTCTTGAAATATTGTGATATGACTTTGCCACTATATCGCCCACTCTTATGATCCAGCAGCTTTCAGCAGTTGAGCAACCCACTGTTCAGAGCTACACTCTGAATTTTGCTCTACACTAATTTGCACCACACTATCACTCTACACGTATACATCAACAATGTAAGGGGGTGGTTATCATCTCTGCTGGTTCATGGAAAGTTCAGGGAGAGCTAATCTCACATACCCATGATGACATGACATTTGAACCCATTTTAACCATTTTGCCCGCCGTGTTAAGTCACACATGTTCAGCCCTGTTTTGTGAATTAAAAGTGCCGAGTGCTTATCTGAGAGAAATAAAGTGGAGCTAACTGTCGAGTAATAAAATGAAATAAGAAGACATCCTCCATTTCTCAAGTGTGTGTGCATGTGTGCGTCTTGTACTGTGGGAAAACGCACCTCCATCCTGAGCACTGAGGACGTTGAGGGCAAAGAGCATAGCATTGGAGAAGGTGGTGGCCTCCTCCTTGCTGGCGAAGTTGAGGCCATAGACCTGCCTGGCGTCCCTCCACTGGTGGAAGGTTGGTGTGGCCTGGTTGTACTTGAGACCCTTCACTATTGAGTAGTTGATGACCACCTTTGAAGGACAAGAGGAGAATGCAGGAAAGGCAGTCGTCAGTTAGGAAAATACTGGAAAGTATTTCGCTTTTATCGGAGAGTTTTTATTTTTCAAGGTTATTTCTCTTTTTCTTTTTTTTTATCTGAAAAATGATTTAAATCCACAGATGGCAGCGCGCCCATAGACATACAACACGGTCATAACTTGCATTGTTTGGAAGGATTTGTGGATTCTGAGTGAGCTGTGTTTTGCGCCACTATAAAGATAAAACATTTTTGTGTCTGAGAGCAGCACAGCTTGTAATTGTCATTGTGTTTCTCATTTTTATGTTGCTTACATCACGAGCTGTAACTTAGAAGAAACACAGCTGTGAAAAAATGCTGTTGTTTATATCTTGTTTTTCCACAGCTACCCACTGACATCTACTTAACTCAATTCTTTTGAGTTTAATTCCAAAATTCACAATAACATCTGAAGAGAAGACATCTGTATCGTGTTCTCTTTAATACTTAGTCCCTGCTGTGTGATTTTATATCCAACTGAGTGAGTTTATTCGATTAAGTTTTATTTCTATAGCGCCAAATCACAACGACAACTGCCTGAAGGCACTTTATATTGTAAGGTCTCGACCCTGAAAAAATACAAAGAAAATAAAGAAAACTCCAACTATCATATGACCCCCACTGAGCACGTGCTTTGGCAACAGTGGAAAAGAAAAACTCCCTTTTAACAGGAAGAAACCTCCAGCAGAACCAGGCTCAGGGAGGGGCAGCCGGTTGGGAGTGTGGGGAAGAATACGGCACAAAGACGTGCTGTGGAAGAGAGCCAGAGATTAATAATAACTAATAATTAAATGCAGAGAGGTGTATAAACACACAGTGAGGG